TAACCCTCATTAGTGTTTGTGTAATCGATACAAATCACATTTTCCTCACACAGCATGAATAATCTACAGACATGATTTAGTTCTCGACAATGCTGAATAGACAATGACTGGGAGCACAAAGCGGTTCCACATGTGTGAAGTGCAATAGCGACCATGCATTATGGATCCGATACCTAATCCCGTATGGTAGGGTCTCCGCTTCTGATCAATATCCTGTGCGCACGCAACTTCAATACACAATGCTTCAACGGTACATTGATAAGAAGAGATGTATCGTGCAAAACTGTGAATTAACCTCGATTAGAAGTGTGCTCTTCTATTCACATTTTTACTTTCTTGCCGTATTACGTACGAAGTAAATAGAACGTATTGTAATGCTGCGACGGAAATCGGCGATTTGTCGACAAAAGAACTCTTATTGTCGGGCCCAGGTAAAAAAGAAGAAAAATATTTATTCGATGCGCAGTAAATTACTTCCTCTAACACTTGTGTAGTTAGAGTTCACATTTTGAGAGTCCTTAATATCGAAATATCGATTCAAAACAAAACATTTTTAATGTCCCTCCTAATTTCCAAATTTACTAAAAAATAGCCCCATTTTATTAAACGTTGTTATTGGATAGCGGAAGTGGAGTATAGTGTTTACGAATATGCCAGGCCTCATTTTGGTTAAAATCTCTCAATTTTCGAAAAGTGCAAAGGTGCAAAAGTTTATGGCGTCTTCTTACAACTATAATATTCAGTACAACAAAATACTACAACAATAGATACAATACTTATATATAATATATTATAAACATACAGTCTATAATATACAATAAGACAATAGTCTCTGAGTGTCTCTCGTCGGGTGCGGCCGTATTTCCCGCGAGCTCTTGAAAAGTGAAAGGCGGTGAGGTGCAGCTCACAGATGTACCGGGCGAGCGTTGGTTCCTACGCGGCGCTCTTACCGCGTGTTTGTGTTGGCTTGCAGCCGGTCAGGCGAATTACGGCGGTATACAGATGATGCTTCTGTGTGCTGGTGTTATTGCAACATTATTGATTATTGGTGGTGTTAAAATGAACCCTGGACATGAAATGGAGGCAGCGAATGTTGAATGCAGCAAATGAACGAAGCGAGAGATGAATCCGCAAGCTACAAGGGGAACTTTTTGAACTGCAGAAGTTGGTGGAGATTTTGTCGCTAAAGAACGAGCCTTTGGAAATAGGTGCTATAAGGGTTGAAGTATCACTGAAGTCAGTTGAGATAACAACTGAGAAAGGATGCTTGAGCGGTAACGTAGAAATTGAAGCACTTATTGGAACAGAAAACGAAGAATCGTGCAATATAGAGAGCGAGGAAGTGAGGGAGGCTACTGATGAGGCAGTGTTGCAGCTGATTTCGTGCTTGTTATTGTATGACACGTGGGGAAGGACAAAAAAGTAAAGTGTTTACCGGGTATTCGTGTAGATCAATTAATAAGATATATCGAAAGAAAAGAGTTCGGTACAGTTGAAAATGATGTTATTTATGTAGAAAAAAAAACAACTTAAAAGGAAATAGGAAGAACATTATGCGCGATGTGTACGAACTTGTCGCGACGGCGCAAAAGAAGTTTCCCGCAACCATGATTGTGCTCAGTGGTGTAATGAGAAGAAAAGACATCTTCTGGCGTCACATTGCAGAAATTAATATGATCTAGAGTGTGTTGATATGGCATTCGTAGACGCAAGTTCCTGCATTCGACACGGCCCGCGTGAGTCTTGGTCGCTACAGCGACTTGATGGGAACGGCCTCCATCTGAATTCGAAGGGAGCAAAAAGTTTGGGAGCCCGTTCCCTAAAGTAGGCGAGGCCACAACCCGATTGCACGGTTGAGGTTCCTCAGCGGTGGTCGCAGCAGCGACAATAAATTGTGTGTGGGGTGGAGCTGCTGAGACAGGAGCGAGGGTGGACAGAAATGAGGAGAGAGGGTGACTGCGAAAGGAAACGGTGAGGAGTATTCGTCAGCACAGAATCCATCATCGGAGCGAACGAGCGTGAACGAGTTGGCAGCGCGGGATTTCAGCGTCGGAGCGGAAGCGACGGCGGTGGGAACGGGCGGGAACGTGTCGTAAGCGCGGGACGAGACTACTGCTGAGCAAGAGGACGACAGCGAGGCGGCGAGTATGTGCACACGGTCCTGATGGATTAGGATGACGGCATCGGGTCGGAGCAACTATAGAGCGACGGCGGCGGAGGCGACGGCGGCGGCACCAGTGACGTCGACGACAGAGACGATGGCGACGGCGGCGGAGACGTCTTCGAGGGACGCGCCTTCTCAAGAACAAGTCCACGCGAGGATTTCTTAGGTTGTTGCAGGTAAACTATCGTAGTATAGTCAATAAAGGAATAGAGATTTAAAATATAGTTGATGCCTCCGATCCCGATATAGTGATAGTAACTAAGTCTTGGCTAACTGAGGAAATCGGATCCTGTGAAATTTTCCAATCTCATTAAAAGATCTTCAGGAGGGATAGAAATGGTAGAGGAAGCGGAGTTTTTATTTGCGTCAAATTAGACAAGAATATTAGATTAGATTGGGTCAGCACAGAGTATGAAATGATGGAAATAGAAATTACTAGTTCAGGAACCATATTAAAAATTATTGCATGGTTTAGGCCTTCGAGCGACGGATTTGACATTTTGGAAGACATCATTCAGAAAACAGAAATGAGAATTGCCACCCAATTTTTATTGTAGGCGACTTAAAAATGCCTAGCGCAAACAGAGGACGCCGTGAGCGAGTTGAAAGCCCGAACACTTCTGAACAGTCTAGTTTTGAAGAGCGGACTGACGCAGATAGTTCGGAGCGGGGCGCGGCAGGATGCGATTTTGAATGTCTACCTAATTAGGTCGAAAGACGTTTTCATATCTTATGAAGTTGTTGAGGGCATTAGTGATTACAAAGCCGTTCTTCTTGACTTAGACGAAAATATTTCAAGGAAAGGCATCTCGATAGGAACAAATGTTAGAGGAGCTTCAAGTTTTTGTAGGTAACAATACAATGGCTTTCTGAGAACCGAGGGAGGTATGGAAGAAGTATGAGGTGCGATCAAAGATATTTTACACGATTTGCAAACGTTTGTTCCCTGCAAAATTTTAAAAAATAATCCGTACCGCAGAATACTGCAATGCAAAACTTAGGCAAATGAAGAGGAAAACAAAAAAAACATTTAAGAACACAAAACGCAGTAGGGAGCATATGAATATTTTTCGAAATCGTTCAAAAGAATTAGAGCGAGAAAAGAAAATTGCTCAGGAGGCATATTTAAAGAATATTCTAGATGGGAAGGGAAATAACTGGACAGGATTTTATAAATATGTTCGTAGAAGGAATGAAAGTAAAGAGGATATCCCAGTTGCTCTTGTAAACGGAAACACACTCATTACTAACGATCGGGCAATCGCCCTTGCGTTTAATAAGTATTTCGTTTCTATTTTCAAAAGCAATACGAATCATCCAGTAACTCAAGGGTCTTCGGTCTTCTATTTCTAGCGTTCGTTAAGAATCTGTCAGCGCACTTGATCTCAAATGTTCGGCTGTTTGCAGACGATTGCATAATATATCGTAGAATGAATTTGAAAGAAGACCAAGAAATGCTTCAAAGAGATCTTGATGCATTATATTACTGGGAGGAAAATATTGGAATGACCATAAAAAAGCTCCAAAAGCAAATCCATCACTTTTGGTAGGGGTCATAATTACATAGAAACAAATTACCGTTTAAATACCGACATTATTCCCAGAGTTTCTTCATAAAAAGTACAAATACCTAAGAATCCATTTCGGTAGTAAATTAAGCAGGAAACGTCATCTAGATTTTGTTGTAGGGAAAGACTGAAGCTGCCTTCACTTTGTAATGCGCACCTTAAAAAATAGTTCGGCAAACGCGAAGGAAATTGCTTATTTATCGCTTGTTTGTCCGGTAATGGAATATAAAACGATTTATTGGGATTCCCTCAAAATTATGCGAAAATTGGAACGGGTTCAGCGTATGACGGTGTGGTTAGGCGGAAGAGCGGGCCTGATGGCCCGAGCCTTGCAATATTAATAAAGCCATATTATTATTATTATTATTATTATTATTATTATTATTATTATTATTATTATTATGACAGGTATATTTACTTTCGGGGACAAGAAAATGGCAGGAGGGGATTCACTCGAAAACAGGCGATCAGTAGCAGGACTCTGCTTTTTGCTTAAAGCTGAAAGCGGTCATCCAGCTTCGAAAGAAGTTAATCAGCGGCTAAGTATTCTTACATACATCAGTGATATTAAGTGCTGTGCAGTGCCACAACAGTGTAGTCTTAATTAAACAAATATTCAGTGCGAGGTTAGATTACAGAAGTTTCTTTCTCTTAAGGTAATTTAATGTTTTATGAATTTTTTATTATTTATTATATTTTTATATTGTTATTAATATTATTATTATAACTGTATAATTTGCATGTGAGATATATTATCTTATTTATGAAATTAGCTGCCACCGGATCATAACCAATTGCAGTTTCAATAAATTTGTCTTATTTATATAGTGTATGTAATACATACTCTTTAATGTTCATAACATATACACTATGTGATCAAAAGTATCTGGACACGTCCAAAAATGTGTTATGGTGTGGTCGTGTTTTTCATGGAGGGGTCTTGCACCCCTTGTTGTTTTGTGTGGCAATACTTTGTGCTGCCAGTGCACTTGCGGCAGAACCTTCAGAGACGCAAGCTTCCCCGAAAAGCCTGTGTTCGACAGAACCAGTCTGTAAGTACCTAGCAAAGAGCTCTACCCTAGAGTGCAAGAAAAGTGGATCCCGAGGGGGAATAGACAGAAGTCAGTGCTGGAGAGAAAGCAATCTGCTGCAGAAAACGTTCAACAAATCCAGCTGAATTGGAAGCAGTGAGATGGAAGCCCCGCCACCAAACTGTTCCTGCCTAGCTTTCATAGAGTGTCCAAGGAAGAGCTCTTTTACTGACTCACTCGGTGATCATAAATGGAACCATTTGGAAACGGCATCTGCAAGAATAAAAGACAAACGATTCGGAACATCCGAACACGTAAATATAGGGACTTGGAATGCACGTGGTCAAGCTCACAAAGAACATGATATGAAGAAAGAAGCCAAGGATGCCAAAAAGGACTTGAAAATGCTATCCGAGACAAAAAAACAACATGAAGCAGTAACTTTGTGGTCTATTCTATTATGTATAGGGTGGTGAACCTGCAGAAGTTAGAGCAATAGTAGGAACAACTATTACGACAAGTGAGACGTAAAGGAGCAGAATAA